CCAGCTCCTCTTTAGTGACCTTTGCAGCTGGACAAACCCTCATGCCACTAGGGGGCGCTGGTAGCCGCTTGGCTCCTACAGCTCCAGCTGATAGGCTGTAGCCATGGGTGGCTGTAGACCCCTCTCCATGCCATGGCCTGGCTGGGTGTGGAAGAAGCTCCCTCAGCTGAGTGAGAAGGCCGTGGTAGGAGGAGAGTGTAGGAATCGGTGTAGGCCCTGTATAATTCTTCTCCCTCTGGAGGCAGGGTGTCCGGGGGAACCAGTTCAGGTGGCCGGTGCTGCCCTGCCCCAATCGCGGCTGGGAATGGCTATTGTTTCTGAGACCTAGGGAAAAGGGGGAGCCCATCACTGATCCTGGGTGACAAACAAGGGGCCTGATTCTGGAGTTTCCCAAGCTCTCGCCAGTCACAGGCAGGCTGGGACCTGCAAGGTAGGGACCCACCTGAGTGGGTCAGGGAGACCGAGGCTGTGCAAGGGATGCATACCCTCCCCCAGCCCTAGCAGCTCCTACGAGGGGGAGACCCTCGGCGTAGATGCTGGGTGGAAAAGGAGTCCCGTGAAACTTGCATGGCTTGTCGGTAAATGCCCCACGGACGTGCCGCGGGATGGGAAAGCAGCTCACGTGGGTTCCCGTACGTCATGGCACTTCTTGGCTGCCTCGTCCATAAGGGACGGGATCCCCTCTAGTCCGCCCGTCCCACAGCCAGACAAGGTGATGCCCGGCAGCCTAATCTCCCGAAAAGTCACAAACGACGGAGCTTCTGCCCTTTCCCTAGGGGGCAGCACTGGAGCATTCTGCGGAGCCCAGACACTCCAGCGACGGGGGAACTGGGGAGGGCTGGGGGCTGGGCTTGTGGGAGAGAGAGCGTACAGGGAAACCTGATGTTAACAAGGACGTGTTGGCTAAGGAAGCCGGGCCTGTCCCGCATGCCATTAGGGAAAGCCCAACCCCTCCCCCCACTCCCACAGGCGTGAGAGGGAGCCGGAGCGACTTGCACGGCCCGTGGCGGTGTGTGAGGCGCTGGCGCACAAGGCGCGCCACAC